CTCCTGTGTAGCCAAGGCCGTGCTGGTTTATATTGGTAGCCTCCAGTTGTTGGTTTGTTTTGCTTCCATCTACAATCTAACATAAATGTGACATTGAGTGAAAAAAGGCTCTATAGGTATAGACTGAATACATCTGCTTCAATGGATGGGGACCTTTTTTACATATCCAATCTATAAATTTCTTCAATATCGGGACCAAATTAGATATTAATACTGAATCGGTGCATCTTTATTAACAACCAGTAACAGAATTTTCATTTATTATCAGTTTTCCTTCTGGGGAGACAGCTGACTGCTGCAGAATTTATCTAAAAGATATCTCTAAAAAAACATGTACTGATTAATAAGGTTGTATATAGTGACTTTAAATTTAAAATGGAAGCCAATTATTCTATAACCAGGAGAGTAAAAAGCCTTGAGCAAATGTTTGCAACTCTTAAGTTTGAATACAACCTCCTGAGGCCATACTTCTGCAGTGAAGTGTTGACATCCAATTTGAACTTAATGACGTCTTGAAAGGGGGCGTACGTGACTAATCCCTTCTCTATCAAGACATCTTTGCTGAAGGACATTAAGGATGAGAAGGGATAAGAGGCAATTTACTTGATGAGTAGTAAGGTATTTACAAGGCAAGACCCTGTTCTGTGGTCTACCTGTTAGACAATATAGAGCAACAATAATTAAACAGATTGTTGTTTTAAATAATATCTTTATCTGCTTGAAATTAAATATGCTATCTACGCAGGAAACAGAAATGTTCTGCAAAAAAAGACTCTTTCTTGGGCTCGAAACGCCCCTTTTACATTTATGTTAAAAAATATATACATTTCTTGGTGTTTTCCTTTCCCGTTGTATGCTGAATTATACAATGCAGCTATGCAAATTAGATCCTCTCGCTCTATTCAAGTGGCTGCAGCAATCTGAGATGCCCTATTACATTATGACAAAGCCTTTTTATAGAATTGAAAACCCACAGCGGCAGAAATGGTATAAATAGGACATGGAGATTGAACCGAAAGAAAAAAAACAGAGAAAAATAAGAACGAGAAAAATTCAGCTTGTGTCTTACAGCTATTGGTGGTCCTAAGGATTTCCCTAAAGGGAAGGAGGATGGGGGGAGATCCTTTTGTCTAACTGTTAGTGAAACAGCAGTTATTAGGAAAGGGAGAAGGAGCTCAACAGTTATAAAACAGGCTGGTGAAGTTTGAAGAATAATAAAGAGACATCTTTAACTGTCAAAAATTCCCTTTCCTTAATGTTGCTGAAATATAGCAGTTCTGCACCTATAGATGACTTTGTAGAAACTAGGTTTTACGCTTTGCCTAGATTTACTGTTATGTTAAATGAATAATTATGTAAGATTGTGATAAAAAAAAAAAAAAAACAGGAGTGAAGGTACCATATCCTTGTGGTTAGTGCAAAGGAAAATCTTTATGTTATATATAAGCTGTTGCTATGACCCTTAAAGGAAATTCCATGATCCACCAAACCTCAAGCCGTTGATAAACAGGAAACTGCTGAGAGACAAGTGTCAATGTTATGCGTGAAGCAATCACTCTTTTTACAGAGCACTGTTATTGGCTGCTCCCTACAAAAAAAAACAGTAAAATCCCTTCTGGAAAATGGTTCATGGCTGCATAGAGAAGGCAAATGTCAAGTCAAAGAGAGGCATCAAAGACCACTGGATCAATTGAGAGCAAATTCATACCAAAAAGAAAAAAAGGAAGCAAAGTAGTTAAAAGGGCTGTAGCGTTACGGTCAGTTAACAGGCTGAAAATAAATGCTTGTTACCGCTTCAGGCAAAATACCTAAGTACAGTGTTCCTCATCTTAAACAAAACAAGATCTGCCATACAAATCCTCTCCTTGGCCATTGCTAATACAATGGAAAGAGATTCACTCTGACAGTATAAGTGCATTACATTCATAAACTCTAATATATTTGTTTGGAGCAAAAAGCTAATCCAAGAACTTGATTAGAATTAGAAAACCATTTAAAAAATGAAACTGGGTCCTCTACTAATTTACAGAACAAAGAAAAAGCTGCATTTGGACAATGTAAGCAAACCCAAATACTACATGTCACAGAATCAAACTTCTTTGCAGTATTGGGGGGAAAAAACACCAAAACTCCCAGAATTGAGGAAGAACTTAGCTGTGGTCGAGTTATTTGAGGTAACGCCTAGAGCAGAGGCGTCTGTTAAAAGCAGCTCCTAGTCTACCTGTTTACTTACAATGGTTCAGATTCTCTGCAAAACTTATCACGCTGCCTGTCTGTCAAATGACACAGCCTGTCAATTATAACTTCTAGAGATTAATAGAAAGCATTTACTGTTACAGAGAGATCCTGCACCTGACCGCTAGGTATGCTAACGTTAAAGCAAATTAAACATGTTTTAATTGTACCTAGCTCTGAAAACAGCTTCAGTTTTATTTCTTAGTAGGGTTGTCAAAAGTATCGATACTCAAAAAAGTATCGATACTGAAACGTTGTATCCGGATACAATACTCATTTTCAAAAGTATCGATACAGTGCTACCACCAGTGGCACCTAAACAGTCATTCATCTAAAGTGCAGAATAGAGGAAATGTACTTACTGAACACTGTGTGATTGAATAATTCTACGCACTTTTCAGTTTCAGACTTTTTTTTGTAACAGGTGCAGCTGCTGAGAATTATTTTTGTTTCTTAACCGGTTTGGCTAGTGTCATTGCTATGTGTGCAAAGTTTTTTATCAAGCTTGCTTAATACTGTGCACTGCAAACAACCTCAAAATATTGTTCTTATTGTTTATTGTATTTATTTTTTGCATTTTAATTATTAATCAAAAATATTTCTGTTGAAATTTGGAGTTTTTATCCTTGTGGTATCGAAAATGGTATCGAGTATCGAATATTTTCCTTAATATCGGTATCGAGTTGAAAAGTTTAGTATCGTGACAACCCTATTTCTTAGAATCTACACTAAAAGTTTATTTACAGCAATGCAGCAGAAAGTGCATATTTTTTTCCTAATATAACGGAATTAAATAAAGAAAAGCACAACATGACAGCTTTCCGTATGCAAGTTATACAAGGAGGTCCTGGATCCCACATACATTTAGATTTTACAGATATAAAAACAAAAGCAGAAAATATAACAGACTAGTGAACAGAGCACATAAAAACCGAGCTAGATAGCAAAAAAAAAAAAAAAACATTATCTACCAATAGAGAACAACCCTATCATCCTAATGCCCAGCGGTTCTTCTTTCTACCTTATAAGAATTTCACATTTACAAATAAGGTAAATACAGTTAGGAACATAAGTACTTGAACACCCTGTTATTTTGCAAGTTCTCCCGCTTAGAAATCATGGAGGGGTCTGAAATTGTCATTGTATGTGCATGTCCACTGTGAGAGATATAATCTAAAAAAAAGGCGTCATAAATATACAAAATTCTCTGCAGTAAGCACACATTCTGTGCACCTCTATTATAGATTAGAAAGCAAAATAAATGAATGATATTATCATAAAATTGTGACTTTTCAGCTGTAAATATTAAATTAAAAATAATATTTTAACACCTTAATAAATAACAAACTGCAATATTTTACATATGTATATCATACCAGGCCATTTCTAATACATGGAAATTTTTGTTTTAGGATTAATTATGAATTGAATGCAATTGTAGCTGTATATTTCCATCTATGTATAAAACCTTTTGTATGCATTTTGCTGTAATTGGAGAGGGCTAGGGGGGTTCATAGAATGCGCTGGAGAAAGAAAAAAAAAATCACAGGACATTTTTAAACTTTTGACACACAAAGGGAGCAGGGTTTCTGTTAAATTTACTGCTTGAAGGCCAAAGAGATAAGGCGTTTCTGCCGACAGTAAGGCAGCTCAGTATTAAATGCTACACCTGCTGTGTTATTATTGCACACAATCTGAAAGCCCACGCTGGGCATTTAACAAGAGAAATGATAAGAAGTCAGTGTCCTGGGCTGTATCTGTGGAAAACTTCTTTCTGGTTAATAAGTAAGCTGCTATTAAATCTCTTGCCTTTTACAAGGTTAGGCAGATCAGCTCCACTTTACATACCTTAAGCAGAATTTTATTTTTTTTTTCTTTTTCTTTCAATAAAAGCAGGTTTATAAATTTAGAAACATGAGGATCATTGTAATGTTATGATAAACTACTCTAAACCACAATGAAACTATCGAACAAAATGAGGATCCTTTAAAAAAAAAAAACATATCCACTGTGTGAAAATTATGCAAAATGTTTCAAATACTGTCCAAGCTGCTCAGTAAGCTGTGCAATAAAAAAGCAAACAGTGTCATCAGCAGTTACAAGAAGGAACAATATTTGTTTCACCTTCATCAGAGCTGTATTTAACATCAGCATGTAGTCAATACTCTACTTCAGTTTCTCTATAAAGTACCAGTCAGCAGCAACTGTCCTTGTGAAACCCTGAAGATTCACTCCCTTCTAACCAAACGGATTCAGACACACCCTGTAAGCTGCTGATCTCAGACCTGCCAAACTGTTCCACTCTTGTAAAGCCTAGCTGTGCAACATCTTTACAACACTGACATAAGACTTGTCCTGATAGAAGTGAAGTGTACACAGACAACAAAAAGAAGGGATTGCTTTATTTTTTTTAATTGCAAAGTCGTGCAATGATCTTTTCTTAAATTAAAGAAAGTCTGTACTGTCAGCTAAGAGACGTGCCCTGGTTGTCTCTCCTGCTCAGGGAGTCAGATGTCCCTCCAGGCACCAATGAGTATAAATGAGCTTCAATTTGAGTCATATTTGAATCTAAAAGTAGACTGATCACTGTGTGAACATTCAGTTCACAAACTGCGTATAAATCATCTTTAACCGTATTGCTGAATTCCTCCATGCATATCGGCTCATTGGAAAATGCAAACGGAGACCGCCAATTTAAAGGGGAATTTACATAAATAATTAAATAAAAAGGGCCCTTCTCCCCCAGGGAGACGAGATCAGCTTACCTTTCACCTGAACTGCAGGAGCAACAGCATCCAGAGGCCTGAGTTGGAGCCACCTGTCTTACCTGCAGAGGTAGAAAAGTGAGAATAAGGTTTCACTTTAACTCTGACAGTACAAACGAACAGAAACGGCCTCACCCCTGCCGTTTCTCCTTTTACCTCGCTCCTCCTGTTCACAGCACTGTGCTAAAGCCCCACCTAGTTCAATCTCAGGGAACTACCAACATCTACTGGTTTTCTCACATACACACAACCTTTCAAGTCTATCAAAGTCTGTACTATAATTCATGATATAATGGCAGGGAGACAGACACTGAATCCAAGCCGTGATCTCTGCTTCTGCAGAGCTGTCAGTATGAAACCACCAAAAATGTCACTCCATTAAGTTCACATAAAAAGCCAGGAGTATTTTTTGATGTACAAAGAAATGTGAGAGTGCTCTGATCACTTCAACAAAATATGTTGTTACTGGACTGTGGTGAAACAGTTTATAAATACATACATACCAGAGAAACTACCAAGGAGCATCAGAGGCTTGTGCAGACTTTGCACACATCATAGGATGCCTTTTTGATTAGCACAAGGAGTTCGGTGTGAATGCGGCAAGATAATTATTTAGAAAAAAAAGAACAAATCTACAAAGCCAGATCGGTTACAGGCTAAAATGAACAGTACAGAAGTTTCTGTGAACAAATACCTTAGAAGTACCTTAGAAGACAGGTAAGAAATTTATTATCTTGGTAACTGCTACAGACCCACAACATACTACTGTTTTGAATATAAATATTGTTATATGCAAACTGGTTCACATAACACTTCTGTGAAGAACTTTGATGTTAGCGCCAAATGGGTCTACACAATAGTGGCAGCATCCAAACAGTCCTGTCAACTTCAAAAATATCCTGAATAAATACATTGTAAAACCTAAGCCCTAGAAACTGATCACAGAAACTACATTTAAAAAATCACTCTTTTTGTTTATGTTGTCACATCTACTGTGAATTTAATCCAAAGTAAGTGCTAACAAGGCAAAGTCCAAAAATGTATCTGGACATTTAATAAGAGATTAACCATTTAGATAGAAATAGATCAATATTTGCTTAATGGGTTAAAGTCGCAACAGTCTTAGTTTTAAAATAAACTAAATCATACAGAGGAACAAATAAAAAATACAGTTGTAGTAAAACGGAGGTGACAGTTTATGAGTCACTAATGTCTTGCTACGAGCGTAGTCTTCCATCACTTTTCTTAACTGCATAGTGTGTTGCATAATGTGCAAAACTTTGCTACATTTAGACTGTTTACACCCTTTAAAACTTGTGATAGGTTTTATTTCCTACTTCAGACAGGGAATGCTGTTTTACTACCAAGAGCGTGCAGAGCTCTTGTGACACAACAATATCTTAGGTCTAGAACTTTTTGGAAACCAACTTTTATTTTTTATCTTTTATGGCAGAATTGAAGTTGTTAATCATATGGTAGGGAATTTCACAACTTAGCATGGATCTGAAGTATCATACGACAGAAAGCGAAGGCTGACTCGTATAAACCAGTCCTAGCTTGGGCTATAACCTGGAAAATTAACAGCTGTAAAATGGATAAGGAAGTTGTGAAGAACTTCCCAATCTGTGCCTTAGCTCCTACAGTATCTCTGAGCAAAAGAGGAAGTAATAACAGTGAAGCATGTTTAACCCAAATACGAAGTTAATTAAAAGAAAAAAAACTGACTGAGCCTTTGGGACAAACAACACAAACACAAGGAAATGAAGATGGAGATGGACAGATCATAAACAGAGAGCAAAACTATTACAAAAGTATCGTTAAAAGTAGATATAAATCATTCTTCCTTTTTTCTTAAAATAATAAACAAAGCATAAATTGTGCATGTACAAAGTATGCAAACTAGAGGAAGGGAAACCATGACCCAGAAAGAGACAGAGTTTAAGTGGAAGGCTGCCATAGCTACAGAAGCACCAACACTCTTCTCGCTGTCCCACATTTCCTCACTTAACTTATTTTCACACGCTTCATATAAGCAGCAGTTAACAGCAGTAACCCAGAAAGTTGGAAATACTGAGACTATGGGGATAGCTGAAACACTGTCCTTCATTTTGTGTAAAAAGCGCTCAGCATGCTTTTCTTCAAGCATACAATTCAGCAACATTTGCATAAGAGTGCTGTGAGTTTATCAACTACAACAATAGAATGCCAAGAGCCATAATGTGGGGGTTTAGGCTTTTCTAGAGACTTTTATTCATCCTGGACATGAGATCCCTAAAAAAAAAGGTAACCAGGAGTAAGAGTAAAGAAAAGGAAAACTAAATTTGTTTATCTTTGTTTCTCTTTCAGGTTAATGGGACAACTCAGCATATTACCAACTGCTTAAGTGATGAACTAGCCTGTTACCGCAACTTTACTACAACTTCTATGTACTGCAAAGCTTTCGATATAAGGTACCTTCCAAAGAAGGGTTCGGCATTTATTAAGGTGGCTAAATTTCAGACTTTTAGGAGCTTTTAAATATTACTGTGTTCTCTATGTAAGACCTGTATACATTACAAAAGTGGGTGCATAACCTCGTTCTGGCAGGTACAAACATTTGACACCAGCCTGCTGCCTCAAAACTTGGTATAAGAAGCAAAACTCCTCAGGTACCATTTGGCTAAGAGCCAGCTCACACATTAGATAAGATGTTTCGAGATTTCCAAAAAAGAAAAAAAAAAAGCCAGGCAACAGATCTGTTGTGACAAGAGAGTCTGAATTATGAGTAAATATGGTTTTCCTCTTGATTCGTTTAGTGGTTTAAATTTTTGACTACAATGTGGAGGACCTGCGTTCGAAACCCTGCTGCATCAGGAAGGGGATGGCAGAGAACCTTCAGTATAAGATTAAATTCAAGCAGTTCTGACCTCAAAGGAAACCAAAAAGTAAACTGGTTGGTTAGCAAATATTGCTGTATCTTTATTCAAAAGTCCGGGAATATCTAAGGCTATGTTCACACCGCAGGCCTTGATGCTCAATGCCGATTTTTTTTGTGAAATCTGATTTTTTTGCGTTGCCGTTCACATTTAAAAATATATGCGACTTGTATGTGATCTCCTGTGTGAACTGCATTCATACAACGCAAGTGTCCCACTTGCGCAATTAGAGGACGCAATGACATCACAGGCCAGCATGCTGTGTTTACGGAAGTAAACATGGATGGTAGTGCCGGAGCGCATCTAGCGGTCTTTCCCAACCATAAAAACAATCTTTTCAAGATGGTTAAACATAAATACTGCTCTCCCTTTATCGTCAGCCATGTTTGTTGTTTTTCTTGCCACTTCTTCATAGCAAGACCCAGAATAGTGACCTTTGTCGGGTATTAATCTCGTTCAGGTCGGATGAATGCCACCTTACCATTCAGACACAGGTCGCATTTGAAAAGATCAGATTCGTATCGGATTCAGGACCACATAGGCAAGTGGCCTGGGTCGGATTGGAAAAAATCGGATCTGTGTTGTTCAGACAACCAAGAAAAGATCAGATACAGGTTGCATATGAGCCAAAAAAAATCAGATGTGGGTTACTTCAGGCTGCAGTGTGAACATAGCCTACTCTGTGGGCCTAAAATTGAGATGATTACACTTAATTTTTAAAGGTACCCAGGTAAATTTGTCGATTCTCCAATCCCTAATTTCCATGTTTGTTTCCGTTTAGATTTTCCCTAATTATTATTCTTTCATATGGTGGGCCCTCCTTGTGATGTAAGACAAACATCTTATTTTAAAAAGTTGATCCTAAACAGGTTAAATTTCTTTCTTCATTGATGCTTCCATGAGAGGCAGGTAGAGTAGGTACTAAGGTTGGTTCACTGCAGGATGGGGTTTTTGAACTACAGCATGAATGATGTGGTTACCTGGTAGATAGAAAAACATTGATGTGTAGCGGAAGTCCATTACTAAACCAGACAAGAGCTCACTGTGGATGAGGAGGAAAACAAGAGGCCCAGGTGGCAGCAGATACCAGCAATGATTCCAAGGGGAGAGTCCCACAGAGACTAGATCAAACCATTCTCTATATCGCAAACCCCTGTGGTCCCACATTAGCAATTGGGATGACACATATAGTGTTTGTGTGTTTCAGTCACAAGGCAGAACACTTTAGACCTTTTTAAAAAAGTTTCTGTGGTATGGTTGCAAAGACCAGCACCATTTTGACCTTTTTACAAATCAAGTACTTCAGCTGAACATGTTTCACAATGATTTGCAATTTTCAGTCAAGTTGACAATTCAACAATAGCCAGTTAAAGCACAGGCATTGGTAATTATGAATGCTAAAGTCAGCTACTAGCTCAAACCTCTTTTTCAAGTAATAAATACCGTTAATAAAGAACTTTCAATAACTCTCTCTTTTTTCTCTGCATTCATTTTTGTAGGATGCCATTGTAACATAAAGGTTAGTGGCCTGTCCCTCTTGAGAAACAAGACATGTGTTGGATGGCTAAAAAAACAATTTTAGCAGGGGGGGAGATGGTCAGATGATGATCCCATGCTGTGGAAAGCAGCCAGGTTCTGAAACTGAAGAACGATCTCAAAGGTTAAAGAAATGCTTTGCTGTCTTAGAGCTGCTTGTCATACACAGCTAAACCTCGGAGTCATAGTTTCCGCTTAGCAGAATATTTAAGTGTCAGTCTTTCCTCCAGAACAAGTATTTTAATCATTCAACATGGAGTCTACATTCTCATAAATGCAATTAATTTTCTAAAAATGCAAAGCTGAAAATATACATAACCGGTTTGGAAGGTCAGTCATGTCATCATTTGAAAAAATCCACAGCCAGATGACCAAAATTAGGGTTAATCTGATTCTGAACACAGCACCACCATGACCCTCCAAATGAGGTTTTAAAAGGCTGATGACGTAAATCTCCCGGGTTATTTCATAATAAATCATAGTTGAAGTATTAAAAAAAAAAAAAAAAAAAAAAACAGGCCTGCTCTAATCTCAACAAAGACACTGCACGTTATCTCACAAAGTAGTAGATTATTACTGCTTCACGGGATGTGTGCAAAGGGCTGGACCGA